CTATCTATCTATCTATCTATCTATCTATCTATCTATCTATCTATCTAGCTAGCTAGCTAGCTAGCTAGCTAGCTAGCTATTAAAATTCAACACTATCAATTAATTGTGTGCTTTGCTTAAAGTTAGTTTTTATTTATTTTATTTAAGAAAACAATTAAGAAGCTTGTTGCGTTCCGAGAAAAACAATTAGATCAACACTGCCCTCTGCCGGCACTAACCTGAAACTACAAGGCAGACACACGTCCTGAATACTTCATTTATTTTATTTATTTCATCACCAGTTAATGTTCAAAGAATCCAAAAACAAGTGAAACTGTGAACTGGATTACAGTAGCAAACATTAAAATCATTCCTTTCAGTGACAGGAACAGATGATTGACCTTTGACCTTCATGTTAAGGAAGTTTCCAAACAGACGCACGTTTCTTTCTGCTGTCATTTTATCTTCTGCTCACCGAGGTTTCAAACATTCTGTGCAGTTATTGTTAATTAAAGTAAGTTTTTTTCCTCCTCTGATTCGAGACAGAAAGATAAGAGAGCATCAACTCAGTAATTTTAATAAATTACATTTTTAGACGATGACACGACTTGAGTTTTATAAACTAAATTTTAAAGAGGAAGTAAAGCAGACAGTGCAGGTATGTGATTACAGTTCTCTAAAATATTCTAAGCATTTGGAGAAACAAACAGTTTTCAATTTCACATGTAAAAACTTAACATATGACCTTGTTACTTTTTCTTTAAATTTGTTTAAATATTCGTTGAGTTTTTGCTTCATCATTTATATCTAATTTGTTGATATAGTCATTTTTTAACTGTTTTTTAATAAATATGTGGCTTTTTTTTTCAACTGTTGGATGCTATCTTCTTCCGTCTGTTTCTTTTTTTTTTTTGTCATATTTTTAATTTTTCCTTGTTTCTGAAGATGTTGTCTTCACATGTAAGGAGTTTTCTCCACTCCACAGTCCATAGCTTCAAGTTTCAAGTAGTCTTCAAGTTTTACTGATGAAGCCTTCTGGATGGAAGGTGAAAAGTTTCAGAAAAAATAAAAAGTCCAGATGACCTGACTGAAAAATGTTGGATTGTATTCCTGTATTATTGAGCGTGGACTTTTTAGGTTACTACAACACAGTTTCAGCTCATAGCTGACTTAAAGTTGTTGTTTTTTTGTCTTTATTGAAAAAAAATAAAATACAAAACGTAATATAACAAGAAAAACATGTTCACAGTTGATATGACAAAAAAAAAACTAAGCAGAAATTATGAATAGAAATTTAATTAACAAAGAAAATGAACAATTTGAGGAAACAGCAAAATAAAACTGTTACAAATGCAAGAGGAGTTCAAGTCTTAAATAAGCTATTAATTAATGTACTGGTATGAGGACTGGGCTCTTGGAAGGTTCCAGCGTTTAAGCATTTCCTTAAATAAAATTATTTCATTTAAAAACATGTTGAACGTGGGGGTAATTTTCAGGAAACGGCATTTGTGGATAAAAAAAATTAGCCATACCCTTAAGAAAAAGTAGCACATTTTCAAGTTTATTTTTGCAAGTATACTTTAAGTTAAGTATATCAAGTATACTACTTGTAGTGTACTAGAAGTATACTGATTTAATACATGTTTGGACTAAATTGGGACATTTTTATACTAATTTTAAGTGTATCAAATAAAGTTTATAAAAAGTAAACTTCAAGTACACTTCCTCATTTTTAGTGTAAAATAAATATACTTGTAGTACACTTAAATAAACTACTTTTTGCTAAGGGTAAGGATTAAGTTGTTACTGTAATTTAAAACTTCATTCCCTGTTAGCAGACCATATTTAACTGTATTAAAATTTAAAGGTGGAATAGAACTCTTGGATATAATCCAGTTCTGAAAATCTTTTCAAAACGCATTAATTAAATTGCAATAAAAGGTTAATTTAAAGCTTTTTGTGCCTTTCTATGTGGCGGCCATCTTGGATATACTGACCCTGAATGTTAATGAGTTTTTACTGCACAGCCAACAACTCATAAATGTTTCCTTAAAATCGTCTATATTCATTAAAAAATCAGTTTATATGAAATAAAAACAGGTAAAAAGTGTGTTTTATTGGAGCTGAAGACACTTCCATGGTTTTTTTTCGCTCCATATTTTTGCCTGTGTGATGACGTCACGGAGTCGGAGCCTCCTCCAGCTCGCGAGCGGAGGAAGCTCCGAGCAGACGGTCCGCACCGACACGCACAGACACGCACAGACACGCACCGACACGCACCGACACGGCTGACTTCAACCCAAACTAACGGCGGATATTCAACGGCTTCACGCGCGGACGGCGCCGCCTGAAGGTCCAAGTCCCTCCGGAAGTGGTTTGGAGCTGAAAGTTGTCGGTGTTTCGGTTGAACTTGTCCGGGTCGTTGTTGTCGTTGGAGCAGGAGGAGGAGGTGAAAATGTCCTGACCCAGCGACTCACAGGAGGAGAAACGAGCTTTAAGGAGGTGGAAGCTTAAACAATGGCAGAGGCTCGGACTGAGGAGGAGGAGGACGCGCTGAGGAGGAGAGACGGAGGCCGCCGGCCGCAGAGCAGCTCCGCAGGTAAACCCGAACACCTGCTGGCGGGAACAGCCACACCGAGCAGACACATTCTGCAAACTTTAATTTAATATTCATAAATAATGAGCAGGATGGAGCCGCCTCTGGAATCTGGAGGGGTCCTGGGGAATCTCTCCCTGGACTGATAAAACCCTCAAGGTTCTCCTGTGTCCTTGGTCCCAGTACGGTCCCAGTACGGTCCCAGTCAGAATAAACAAACTTAAAGGTCACACAACTGTTGACTTTAAACTTCTGCTAATTGAGATAAAAGAACAGTGAAGGTTTTCTTTGCTGTTTATATGGGGGGAGGGAGTGGTGGCCTGTGATCGAAAGGTTGCCGGTTCAACTCCCTGGACTGACGACATCAAAATGCGGGTGTGAAAGGTGAAACACTCATTTGCCCCACTCTTGGTCCTTGAGCAAGGCACTTTACCCCCACCATGTGCTCCGTGGGCGCCCTATGGGCAGCCCCCTGCTCCACACAGGGCTGTGGTGCCTCGGTGTCTGTGGTCGTGTCCCGGCCTCCGGCTTCAAAACAGTCGCCAAGACTTCGTGTGAGCTGGTTCACAAGAAAATCTAAAAAGAGTGCAAGAAGAAATCTGTAAAGGCTCAGTTAGGTCGGGGCGCGCCGACTGGAGGTTTCTGGTCGATCCCGACTCCGTCCGGTGCTGTAAGGTCACAGTGCACCTTCCATTTTCTTGTTTTATTGGAAAACGTACTCTTGAACAAACTATACAAACTGGCCATGAGGTAGTACTCTGAAATATACGTTTACACAATTGTTGTTAAAACTACAAAAAAAATCTGTAAAATCGGTTTGTCGTGTGAGTATCGGCCGATCACCCAGGGCCGATTTATCGGTGCCCTAGTCTCCAGTTGTCCCAGCCCGGTGAGACGCTCCCTTTAGAGACGCCATTGTCCCATCAGTCTGGGAGAGGTTAAAGGTCATGTCCTAACAGTTTGTCGTACATCGCCTGTGAGAAACGTTGGGGAAAAATATTCTCACTTTATCTTACTCACTCAAAAGGAGCCACACTCGACAGCAGGGAAGAGTTTTAACTGCTGTTTTCTTGTAAGGACAGATACACAGGAAGTACACGCAGATATACAGGAAGTACACACAAATATACAGGAAGTACACACAGATACACAGGAAGTACAAACAGATACACAGGAAGTACACACAAATACACAGGAAGTACACGCATATATACAGGAAGTACAAACAGATACACAGGAAGTACACGCAGATACACAGGAAGTACACACAGATATACAGGAAGTACAAACAGATACACAGGAAGTACACACAGATATACAGGAAGTACATGCAGATATACAGGAAGTACACGCATATACAGGAAATACACGCAAATATACAAGAAGTACAAACAGATACACAGGAAGTATATGCAGATATACAGGAAGTACACACAGATATAAAGGAAGTACATGCAGATGTGCAGGAAGTACATCCAGATGTACAGGAAGTACACGCAGATGTACAAGAAGTACACGCACATATACAGGAAGTACACGCAGATATAAAGGAAGTACACGCAGGTATACAAGAAGTAAACGCAGATATACAAGAAGTACACGCAGATATACAGGAAGTACACACAGATATACAGGAAGTACACGCAGATATACAGGAAGTACACGCAGAAATACAGGAAGTGCACGCAGATATACAGGAAATACACGCAGATATACAGGAAGTGCACGCAGCTATACAGGAAGTACACACAGATATACAGGAAGTACACGCAGATATACAGGAAGTACACGCAGATATACAGGAAGTACACGCAGACATACAGGAAGTACACGCAGATATACAGGAAGTACACGCAGATATACAGGATGTACACGCAGATTTACAGGAAGTACAAACAGATACACAGGAAGTACATGCAGATATACAGGAAGTACACGCAGATATACAGGAAGTACACGCAGAAATACAGGAAGTGCACGCAGATATACAGGAAATACACGCAGATATACAGGAAGTGCACGCAGCTATACAGGAAGTACACGCAGATATACAGGAAGTACACGCAGATATACAGGAAGTACACGCAGATATACAGGAAGTACACGCAGACATACAGGAAGTACACGCAGATATACAGGAAGTACACACAGATATACAGGATGTACACGCAGATTTACAGGAAGTACAAACAGATACACAGGAAGTACACGCAGATTTACAGGAAGTACACAGGAGCTGTGTGTGCAGCTTGTTTTTATCATCTTGTCAGTTGAGCAGAGCTCTTCTTCTTCTTGAATCAGCAGCTGCACGCTACAGCTGTCAGTTTTCTACTTACCCAAACATGTGGTTCATGGGCAGAGTTAACATTCTCAGCTATACCCAGCTGTGTTCAGTCAGGTCATCTGGACAGTTCCTTTTTGTTGTTGTTGAGATGTTTCACCCTCCATCCAAAGGTCTCCATCGTATCACCAGCAAACTGGTTGGTCCACTGTAGGAGTGTTCTGCTCGGTGGGGAAACTTCTCAGATTGATGAAGCCCTTCGGATGGAGGGTGAAACGTCTCAACAAAAGAAGAAAGGAACTGTCCAGATGACCCGACTGAACGTTGTTGGATTTCTTTACCTGGATTATTGAGCGTGAGCTTTGATTCTCAGCCATATCAGATGAAACTTCCAGAAGCTTTGACCCAAACGTCCCCAACAAGAAAGATGATTCACAAGAGAACGTTCAGAGTCTTCATGACAACCAACACCAGTGTTTCCTCTACATTTCGTGCCTTGGCAGGGCGCTCGTCACTCGTGATTTTTGTCGACGGGGGGTGGAGACGGTGGTGACGGAGACACGTCTGCGTTGCGCTCCGTTTGTACCAACAGTTTTCGAGCGGGGCGGGGAGGAGACCGGAGACGGCCAAGCGTGAAGGAAGCGCGTCTGTGTTGCTCGCTGCTAGCTTAGCGCTACGTCAGTGCTGGCAGTCGTGGAGGGGTGGGGTGGGTGGGGTTGGTAGGCGGGGCGCCCTGCTTGTGTAAAGGTAGGGGACACACTGAACACTCTCAAACCTGAATGGACTGAGACGATGTAAAGAAGAGTGGGCCAGTGTTCCCCCACAGCCACGAGAGGCTGATGGAAAACCACCGAGTCATGTCTCTAAAGGCGACTCTACAGTTTGTTCATCATGGGGACGGCTCAGTTTTGTTACACAGCTTTTCCAGTTTTTAACCAGTAATAAAACGGTGTAATCTCTTGAGTTTTTATTCTCTACAGATTAGATGTGAATGGTTTAAAAACCTTTTAGAGCCCAGATTAGCTTGAGCGCGTCCTGACACGACGGAGGCTGGATGTCCGTTTCCCTCGTGACTGCGGATGGATTTTATTTCACTTCAGGTTTGTTGTGTTCTGTAAAACGTGCGCCGTCTGATTTGAAGTGATGTTTTCTTCAGCGAATCTCTTTGAAGATTCTCGTCAGGAGTTTTTAGATTTTATGACCCAGATGAATTCTTTGCCATTTTCTAATGTGTGGCGGCTAAACCCAAGAATAGAAACCACAAACGTTTTGCACGAGTAAAGTGTGAATATATTTAGGTCAGGGGCGTTGTTTTTGCACACGAGGACCCGTGGACGTGCGTGTGGTTTGAGTGGGTGTGCACAAGTTCAACACAAAGCCATGAATCCTTGAACCAACAGAGAGCGCAGCGCTGCCCGGGTCAACGTTTGCACACGCTCCCACTGAAATCAGGAGCAACAAGGGAGAGGGAGGTGACGACATGAACGGCTGTTACACTATTACAAACCTTCTTCTTTACCGCAGCCGTTGAAGCAAATGTGAAAAATGAACACGTGTGGACACGTCAGAGCCGTTATTTGAGCAAAACAACTCTAATTACACGGATTGCCCCTTTAGTTCTGCCTCGCTGCGAGCGTCTGCCCGCAAACGACGGCATCCTGAACACCTGAACACCTGCGTGAGCCAATTTTATGTCTGAGTAACAGCAAAACATCCACCGAGGGAAGAAAAACAAGACTTTTAAAATCATTCCCAACCTTAACGTTGTTATTTGTTGTTGTTGTTTTGTGATTAGGCCTGTCGCGATAAACAATAAATCAATTGATCGCATGATAAATGAAAATGAACAACCTCGTTTTCATTTAGCGGCTTCATCGTTTCTTCGTGTCTCTCTCTTTCTACTGAAGACACTGGATGAGCTCAACTCTTGTTCTTCACTGACCCCTCCCTTTCTCTTTTCTCTTTAAAATTTGTTTTAACGATCCAAAATCAAAGATCGATACCAGAACGTTTCGCTCTGGAATCCATGTTTAAATCAAACTATCGATACTTTTCATGCTTCAGTCGTTCCAGGTAACGCATATCATCAACAGGAAGACGGTGGAAAGTAACTAAACTATTGAGCTCTTGTCTAAATGATGCGCGGTTGGAGGGAACTACTTTTTCTTCCACCTGAGTAAATGCGTTTCAGCGGAGCGGCACGCTGCTCGTCAGTCTCTGGAGACACGGCGGCGGAGCTGAACAGAGTCGTGTGTGGAGTTAGTTCAGCTCCAGAAACAGCCAAGAAGCGGTTTGTGAGGTTTCTGGAGAATCTGTGAAGAGCTGCGGCAACACAACAAACCTTGTAAAACACTTCCTGGTAAATCACAACACAGAATATGAGGCAGTGATGAGGCAGAGGAGAGCAAAGAGTCAGGTGCTGCTGCTCCGGAGGAGTCCCTCAGGGCTGCACGACTATCCAGGTACATGAAATGTGGAGCTTTAGCTGAGCTAAGAACTGCTGCAGTTGGACTTGTTCAAATTAATACACATGGTTATGAAATAATTAACAGATCGTGCTTCAACTAATAGTTGCATTGTTCAGTTTGGAGTAATAATATGTGCATCGCTGAGATAATCTCACACGGGCAGAAAAACCTGGATTTATTCAGGTACGGTTTCATAAAGAAATTATAATTTAGAGTGGATTACATGGACCAATGGAGATAAAACAGCCTTGATG